CCACCCCTCTCCCCCTCCCCCCCTTTGGTTGGTTTGTATTTGTTGGTGTAGTCATGAAAGATGCAGTGTATACAAATTCGGTTAAAGCGTGTTTATCACGGATCTGGTGTCTGGTGAGTTGTACTGAGCCTCTTTAAATGGTTATTTAAGGCGTGTATAGGCAGCGTTATTCGTCTCTGCACGGTGCGAGCAGCTGCGATGTGTAATGTTTCTCCAGGTGAGAAAAACTAACCTATCGCTCGCCTTCGTATTTGGAAATTATCTTCCATTGCTTTGCTAACGACCGTCGCCATCGTTTGCAGCTTGTCAAGCGTTTCCCTCTCTGTTTTCTGATAGAAAAAAGAACCATGCTTGATCAACTGACATTTTTATTATAACTGAAATAGCTCTGTTAGTCTATCAGCAAGCTCACATGAAAATGCACTTTCTGGCTTATTAAAACTGCATCCTCTGCTTCTCTGTGACCAGCCTGTGTGATAGTGTTGAAGAGTTGTGCTTGTTGTTCCTGTTTTGGACTGGTATTAATATTGTCTTGTTACTTTGTTTCAGGTATGATCGGTCTTCACGTTGTTGTCCATGGGATTGTCAGCTAAGCCAAGTCTGCGGCAGCAAGTTCCAAGCTAGAGCGCGTCAGATCCAGAAATGTGGTTACTAGAGAAGGTTTGTTGTTTCTGTAGGCCTAGAGAATCAATTCACCCCCTGAAATACATTTGTTTAATATCTATGGAATTCTTCCTTCTGCTAGTAAAACTATTTTTTTTTTTGTATCTTTGTTTATTTAAATCCAATTTTAGATTAGATTAGATTAGATCTGATATGATTACTGTATTCTATTCCTTATATGATTGTTGCTTTTCTATGATATAATGTTGTTGCTTATTTTTGGTCAATATCACAGGTCTGATACGGGATTTGTTTGGATGAACTCGATTCCAGTTTTAAAGGGAAGACGATTCATTGATGAGGCTGAGGGACTTCGGTAAACTAAAGGTGAGTTCAAAACTAGTCTTGTTTATAACTTGAACTAATTTTTACCGTATTACTGTATGCATCTTTTCCTTGTTTCAGATTCATAATCTGGTGCCTGTTTGTTCCCACACTCCTTGTGTCAGATTAACCAACGCAAACCCTACATGAAGCATCAGTCTTGCTACGCTGTGCCCCTGTTTTGAAACTATTTGAAGCTAATAATCTGTGTACAATTAGTGTTGTAGTACATGTAATTAGGCTCTAACAACTTGTGCTAACAATTTGTGTATCTCTTACAGTATTAATAGTCTGAGCAAGAAACTTTTTTATAGTGAGATCAATTTGTTAAAATAGTAAAAGTAAATTGTTATTGCCCTCCTTGTTTATTGTCTATTAATAAATGTAAAGCAGGACACACCACTTTGGTTCAATCTTTGTATCCTTACTGTTATCTTACTGGTCTTACTGGTTAGAAGCAAGCCCTCTACTGTAAATTTTTGCTGTGCATTCATATGTTGAAAAATTGCTCATTACGGTTAATAGAACATGACTCACAAATGTTATTGCTGTAACCCCGGCCAGTTGGCCACCCTGACCGCCTTCCCTCACCCCCTCTCCTGCGTCGAGAGCCAGTCTCTGGGTAGAGCTTGGGCAGGTCGGACCTGTTGTCTCGTTGTTGAATAAACCACTACTCCAGCTACGTCGACTTGTCCTTTATTAAACTGGCGACGAGGATAGTCAAGAAAACCACGCGAATTCGTGGCAGCATCTCCAGCCGCCCAGAGACTCGGCCGTCCGTGCGGTGTTTACTCACAAACAGCAGAGCCGCCGCCGTCACCCCAGCAAGTTCTACAACCACGTGTCTCCAGGATACCAGGGAACATGGCAGCAGCACCACCAAGGTATGACCACTTTCACCCGGAATCCTGGGATGATTTTCTGGAAAACTTTGAACTGTACTGCGATGGGAAAGGGGTGACGGACGACGCGCAGATGCGTGGCCTGTTGAGTATGGCCCTCGGGGACGACTTGTCCTTTATTAAAGTTATTATTGGGGAAAAGCTGCAGATCTTGTTGAAGATGGAAAACCAATAATGGTAGTTTAATCTAGTTCAGAAAGAAATGTTTGTGCCCCTGCATTGTCACTTGGCAACACAACAGAAACGCTGGATCTTAAAATTTTAGGCAAATGCATTTAAGTCTAAAGAAAAGAAACTGAGAAATAGTGATAGGAGCACAGAGTTATAACATTGCAAAGAGTAATCTAGCCTCTCATATTCATTTAGCACAATAATAAAGAACAAAAATAGATAGCAAAACTTGGTTTATTAAATGGGGGATGGCTA